CGAGGTCCAGTTGCAGCACTGAACAGGAATGTATGCGACTTGATGGACCGAAACATTCCCATTCAGTTTCTAATCTTAACTTATTCACATTTCCTTTTTTTATTTCCTTACATCTTACATAAACACATATCAACTGAAATTAAAATTAAAATTTCCATTTCACTACTTCTATGTTGCTGTCCTACCCGCACGCAGAGCCCGGTTAGTGTTTACAGCTAAGGAATGAAACATGGGGATTGCATCGTAACATGTCTTCTTATATATGATGCTTAGTCAGTTCCTTTTATTTTTCTGTTTCACTACTTTTATCATCAAAGGATCAGCTACTGTTGTTTCATTATCGCGTTTCTTCTCGCCATTGGCGCTCAGTCTAGTCCCTTTTAATCTACTATTTCATTACTTTTATCACCAAAAGATCAGTTGTTGTTTTTGTTTCATTGTCGCGCTTCTTCTCGCCATTAATGCGGTTGACAACTCCTCCATTCTTCTCTATTTTTTAGCCCCTTTTCATCCACATAATTCCATATTTCACACATAATTCGTACATAAATCATATTTCGCACATCACACATAAGGCACATAATTCGCACTGAAGGCTGGTCTTCCCGGCGTTCTTTTGATATTGCATAGGTACTATTCAAAAAAAAAAAAAAATGACTCAAATAATTCACAAAACTTTTTTAATCTTTGGCTGCTAAATAGCTTTTAAATTGACTGTTGAAAAAAACCACCGTTTCGAATAAAATATAAAAACTCTAAAAAGACCCGTTTCCAGGAAAAGGAAAATTTGCTTCTCTTTGGCGGTGATTATTCTTACTGATGCAACAATAATGCGACTAGCTGAACAAAAGCTTTTTTTTTGCATTTCCTTTTTTGGTTTTTTTTGTCCTGGCGAGCTTTCAGACTGTGTTTGATCTGTTATAGTGCAAAATTTTTTAATCCCATGTGTCTGCCTTTTTATTTTTTTTTCAGAAGGCTCTGGCATAGCTGCGCTCAGCATTCAGCAGTA